TTGACAATGATACAGGTTTCTTTCCACAAACTAACAACAAGGCCCTTTGTTGAAAACAACGTCAAGTAACTAACTGATTGATCAAGGAGAAGTCTACCTAACATAGAAACTTTACCCCTTCTATCTAGTGTTTTTGGTACCAGAAGGTACTCTTCATGCTACCAAAGAAGAAAAGTAACACAAATCCATCTATAAAACCTTTGACCTAAAATTGTTTCCTACCTGTAAGATACAGAAAGTGCAATGTTGGCACAAAGATTCTCACAGTAATCAATATCTAATTTGTACCTGCATTAATAATGTTCTGTTTAGAAAGTCTTCTCCTATTCCAGTGAGCTCAAGACTATTCCTTACTTTTTCTTCTATCAGGTTCAGTGCAGTCAGTTTTATGTTGAGATCTTAAATCCATTTGGAGTTTTGTGCATGATATGTATGGATCTATTTGAATTCTTTTATGTGCAGCCATCCAGTTTGAACGTCACATTTGTTGAAGATACTGATTTTTTCTGTTTGAATTTCTTAATTCTTTATTAAAACTAAGGTGTTCACAAGTGTGTAGATTTATGTCTTTGTATTCAATTCAATTCCATCCATAAATGTGTCTGTTTTTATACCAATATTATGCAGCTTTATTACTATAGCTTTGTACTAGAGCTTGAAATTAGGAATGGTGAAACCTCCAACAGTTCTTTTATTGTTCGGGATTGTTTTAGATACCCTGGGTTTTTATTTTCCATCTTAAGCTGAGTTTTATCCTTTCAAGATCTGTAAAGAACTGTGTGTAAATTTTAATGTGGATTGCATTGAATGCGTAGATTACTTTTGGCAGGATGGTCATTTTATTATGCTAATATCATAGATCCATGAACATGGGTAATTTTTTAGTTTGATATATATTATTTTGTTATATCTTGTTGCTACCTCTCAGAAGCTTGTTCTTTTCTAATGAGAAACTGAAAAGAAATGGTTCTGGATGGTGGTAGAGGTGGGAAAGAGCTGGGAGGATTTAGAGGAAGGGGAATTGTAATCAAGATATATTATATAAGAAAATAATCTTTGTAAAATTTCAATAAAGTATAGATAGTAGGGCAAAACAAAACAAATGAAAAATAAGTGATAAATACTAAATGATTGGGATACTATGTTAAGTGCTGGTATCATAACATGACATGATACCAGGGCACATTATTCTTTAGTCATATGAGGACACCAAGAAAAGGTAGATGCTTCAGCACTTGGAAATATCTAACCAGACACCCACCAATATGTCAACCATGGGATTTTATTGTTCTACATTTATTTGTCCAATGACTGCCTTTGCCATCCTCTGCATAATCCAGAGGGAAGGGGCATTCTGTTTGTATTATGCTTAGAAAAAACATTATTTCTAGGAATACCCTGCCTAAAATTCCTTTTTAATTGAACTTGTTTGTCACAATTGAAACATTTGATGTTTTGATTTTTCTTCAGTCCTCTGGAAATCACCTCTCCTATCCATGCATCATCATGGTCACGAGATTTAATATTGGTTGCATTTTGTATCCATTCCTACAAGGGTACTGATCTTGCCTTTAATGACCTAAATTATCTTTTGCATTGAGAATTAGCATTTTAAAAAGCCAGAGATTCAATTATTATATGTCTAGTTTCTGAATCTGGTGTCATGCTATTAACTGCTGATGTCATTCTTTGGAAAAAGTCTGTGAAGTCTTCCTTTGGGCCATGTAAATGACTCAATTTTCTTTCCTACTTCTCCAATTCTGTCCCAAGCATTAAAAGTTGCTGTGTGGTATAAACTGAGGGTGTGGTCATCGTATAGAATTTGTCTTTGTGCATCAGCACAATCTCCCTCTCCAAGAAGTTGGTCTTCAGAGACATCCATACCTCTAGGTCTACTTCATTGTTCAGTGGTCTTAGCTTCATCTTCCCCCAAGTCTTCCATTTTAATTGAGTACCATGGCTCTGAAACAGCTTTATCCCAGTTTCTCCAGTCTCTAGGGATAGTTGTATTACAACTATACCATGGGTTTAACATCTGCTTCACAAATGGTGAATGCATGCCATAAAAGAGTATCACTTCCTTGAATATCCTTAAATCTAGCGTTTCAACAGGAGTCCATTTGACTCTGCCTTGGGGATATTTGTCATTTGGCAGTTCCTCTAAGGTGACTGGATAAATTAAAGCTGGTTGTTGCAGAACCTAATGCTGTACCTTTCTAACCTAATAATGCAATGCTAAAATCAGTTCTCCATTCAATTCCTTTGTCTGGGTCTGAATATCTCTATAATATGTTTTATTAAGTTTTCCTAAAACTTGTATCTTAGCACTCGTATTAATCAAAAAATAATAAAACTGATAATGTTTATAATTGACATTACATAAATCCCATCTAAATTAGCTATCCTCTCATTTAATTGTTCCATTTTCAAACAATCCTGCATATTTTCTAGGTGCCAATATGTAACACAAGTTATAATAGGTCTTAATACTAAGAGCTCAGAGTTATATATTAGGGGCTAAAAATGGATAGATCAGAGAAACAGTGCAGCCAGCCACTAGAGACACCTTTACCTCTACTGAATCCTCAGACTGCAGGGATGATCCTGTCTCCACAAATCCCCAGAGTGAATGCTCAGACTGTCTGCCTCAGAGTGACTACCTAGTCACTCTAGACTGGCTAGATTGTAATGAGCCTCCCACCTTATATTCCTCTCCTCACCAATCCTATCCATTCCTATCTCTACCTCCTTAGTTGTGGGATTAAAGGCATGTGACTAAAAGTTCTGGAAGCACCTTTTTGTGGGCTCTGCTTCTCTTTAAGACTGGATCAATTTCATGTATCCCAGGATTGTCATGAATTAACAGAGATCCGTCTGCCTCTGTCTTCTAAGTGCTGGGATTAAAGGTGTGTGCCACCATTGCCTGGCCTCTATGGCTAACTAGTGTGGCTAGTTTTCTCCTGTGATCTTCAGGAAAGCTTTATTTGTTAAGTCATAAACAAAATATCACCACAGTCATTCATCAGTAATTGAGTTCGTCCAGTATATATCTGAGAACCCAAAACCTTTTGTTGCTAATCCCTAAACAGACTTTACCCAATTAGACACAGACACTGGTATCAATAGCAGTTGAGCAATACTGTCCTTTTTCTATAGCCAGAATCAAATGGGACACAGACACTGGTATCAATAGCAGTTGAGCAATACTGTCCTTTTTCTATAACCAGAATCAAATTGTACAGATGCTATAACTTTAATCTTACTTATATAATCCAATCTATAACTCCTGAAAAATCTGTGAGCTTTTCATGATCACATTACTTCTGTCTGTTATCAATCCACATAATCCTTGTGGCAAAGGCCCAAATATAAAAGTAGATACAGATTGGACTCACATTTTTGTGGTAGTATAAATACGAAGATTGCATGATGTCATGTCTGGCACTACCTGAACTTGCCTAGAAAGTTATAATACATGGGAATCTTGGGCACTATAAAGGTTTGACTGATTGACATTTGGTCTCTTCCCTAGAAATCTACCTTTTTTCCCTCTATGAAGTCTTTTAACTAGACCCTTCCCTTTCAACACCAGTGAGTTGAAGTGTAGAAACTTTTTATCATTCTCTTACCAAAGATAACTTGCAATACCTAAAAAATGAAAAGAGTTTTTAAAAAGATGTAGTAAAGTTTCAGCTGCATTTACTTCAGGAAATCTTCACTTTCCACATAGGGTACAGTTTCAGGTGTGGGGACTGTGAATAGGGGAAGAAAGAATAGTTACGTTTTTACTTCCCTCAGTTTTTGTACCATCAGCTGCTTCGTATTAAATGTATTGTACTCGGATATATCATGTCTAGGATGACTTCTCACATTGTTGCTCTAGGTGTATTAGGAAAAGGATCTTTCAACTTTAGGGAAATTCAGGTTTTAGAATCTTGAGTAAAGGATCTTGAGGATTTCTAATTTTAATTTGTCTGAACTATGCTCTCTTCACATTTAATGTAAGAAATGATGGACCTCTTCTATTAAACAATAGCCAAGATTAAAATCACCTTTCCCTTATTAGACTATACACATATGGCCATGATTAAGACTTTTTTCATGCTCCCATGTCTGTCTCTCTTATGATCCTACTTGTTTCCTACCTTCTCTGGCAGTTGGATTATAAGCTGGTAATCCTTTGCTCTATGTCTAAAATCTATATACAAGTGAGTACATACCATGGTTTTCTTTTTGTGACTGAGTTACCTCACTCAGAATGGTTTCTTCTAGTCCCATCCATTTTCCTGCAAATTTCATAATTCCATTGTTTTTCCCCACAGATTAGTACTCCATTGTGTAAATGAACCACATTTTCTCTATCCATTCTTCAGTTAAGGGGCAACTAGGTTGCTTCTAGATTCTGGCTATTACAAATAATGCTGTTATGAACATTATTGAACAGATGTCCTTGTTGTGTGAATGTACTTCTTTTGGGTATATGCCTAAGAGTAGAATTGCTAGAACTTGTGGTAGACTGATTCCCATTTTCCCAAGGAATCACGAGACTGATTTCTAAAGTGGCTGTATGAGTTGGCCCTCCTACCAGCAGTGGAGAAGTGTTCCCCTTTCTCCATATCC